AGTGTGTGAGATGGTACCATACCCTCATTCCAGCAGGGAGAAAAGTAAACTTGGTGCGTGCTGTGTGTGATGCTGAGGTCTATACAGCCTAACAGAGGGGCTGTGTAAGGCCTGAGGGATCTTCTGAGCCCACAGATCTTGTGCTTCTGTCTTCCCAGTCAATAGGAATCTCCTGGTGCTGGTGGATAATGAACAGCTTGCTCTTAATCCTGAAGATCCCATGCAAAGTAAGCTAATGGCTGCACGCTGCCTCATTCAGTGACTCCTGAGCCTTTTAGAACAGGCCTGAAGAGAGATTGAAATGGCAAGGTCTGGCTCTGCGCAGGCAGTCTTAAACGTGATGCTATTATTTCATTACTGAGCAGCATGACAGCAGTAGGTAGGCAATAATCCTGCCTTCTCCCATCATTGCCGTAGTACGGAGATGCTGAGGCAGCAGTCTCCTGAATATTGTCTTGTGTTGACTGCCAGGGGTTGTGTTAATTTACATCTTCCCATTTGTGGATCATCTGGCATAGCCTGAAACTGCGGAGATTATTTCAAAGTGCTGGGACTGCAGAAAGCAGCATACTTAGCTGCACGTCTTTTGAGCAGGAAGAGTGGCAGAGTGATAACGTGCAGCCATGTACTGGAATTAGTGACAGATTTATTTGCATATACCCATGTGTGCATGTATAAGCACAGCTATCAGAGGAATATTGCCGAACTCAGACCTTCAGTGCAAAAAAACTCTAAAGGTTTTAAGTAGCTTAAATCCTTCTAAATGAAAATTATACAAGGAAAGGGTAGATCCGTCTTGTAGATGGAGATTCAGAATAAAGACTGCTCCGTCTGTGCCTGGTCTTTAACACAGTGCTTTACATGCCTGAATCTTCCTTCCACTGGCTTTATTCCTTTCAAGTTCTTACACGGTGCCCTCACCACCTTCTTTGAAGACCTTCCTCCTCCAAACGTTTCTGCATATAAAAGGATAAGTGGAGTGATTCTTGTAACTGGTTAGCCTGACGTTGATCCCATGCAGGATCCTGATAAAGCTGCTGCAGATGTGGCCGAAGGATGGTGGCAAATGGATGCTCATCAAGTCAGTTGTGTTAAATTGATTGCTTTACCTCACATTTAAGTAACGCATTTTAATAGGAAACAATGCGTGCAGGCTATGAGATGATGGAAACTGAGTGGTCTTGGGAGTAACAGTATGGAATCAGAAAATAGGAATTCCAGAGCAATGCTGTAAGTAGTGGTGTGCTCTATACACACCTGGAAAGTAATTGCTGCATATTTCTGCATGATCAGACTGGGAAAGGTTCAGCAAATGCAGCAGTTCCATTTTTTGGCATCATCAGGTATCTGTTTGTTGCTGGAGTCTCGATCCAAGGTTCCTTTGCATGGAAGGGTGTAAAAACTTGCACTTCCCAGTGAGGTTCTGTGAGAAAAATCTGCAGTCTGCTGCTCTGCTGGTTTCTTGCTAATTCTTTGTGTCCCGATTTCCCATCAGGAAGAAAACCTGGGAAACTTGATCCACGAAACAGAGTCTTTCTTTAAAACAAGAGACAAGGAATACCAAGAAACAATAGGGCAGATAGAGGTAAGGAAGTGATTCACGATCACATAAATAATTACTAATGGACAAAAACGTGTGCAGTGTTCTGGTCACACCTGCACACACTGCCAAGGAGGGATGTGTATCTCTATCAAGAACACAAAGCTGTTTTCCCTTGGCATACTTTTGGATATTTTTTCCTAAATACTCTTTCCATCACTACTACTGACTGAGCACAAGTCTGTAATGTGTGCAGTGAGAACCTTCAGAGCAAAGAATCGACGTGCACTGGGTTTTTTTTCCGCTGTTTGTCTTGCATGCCCACCATCAGACTGGGAAACATTTCACAGGAAACCACCTCAGAGGTCGCCAGGCACAACATCTGTAGCTTCTCACCATCTTAGCCCATGAATGTGCTTTCATTCATTGCCATATGCTGACAAACAAAGCGGCCAAGCAGCAGAACAGGATATAAGAGCTGTTCTAAAAACAGCGTCGAGCTCTGATTAAAATACACCTCATAAGGAGATGAGTGCACTCTCAGCATGCAGCACTGGCAAGAAGGATTTATGGATCCCCAGCAGTGTGTAAAGCTGAGGGAGGCTGGGAGGAGCTGCCAGCAACTCACCTTGAGCTGATGTTTTTTTTCTTCTCCTCCAGCTGGAATTGGCCACAGCCAAGAGTGACATGAACCGCCACCTTCACGAGTACATGGAGATGTGCAGCATGAAAAGGGGCCTGGATGTACAAATGGAAACCTGTCGTAGGCTTATCAAAGGTTCAGCTGACAGGTAGTGAGATCTTAGAATCCTCCTCCTTACCATCCCACCTTTTATTTACTGCAAAGCTGAAGTTTGTTGGTAATGAAAAGTATCCTTAGTTGTTTGAAGAGTGAAAGTGACGATTCTCTTCGCAAGTCCCACAAGTTTCCTTGCCTGTCAGTGGTGTTTAATGCTTTGTCTAAACCTTTCTCTGAATTTTCTGCAGAAATTCTCCATCTCCCAGCTCTGTAGCCAGCAGCGACTCAGGAAACACAGATGAAATTCAGGATGAGTTGGACAGAGACGCGGATGTGGAGCCCATGGTCAGCTGATACGTGGTTGGAGCATTCCAGTGAAAGGGAAAACACAAGCAAAGATTGGAAAACAACACACTGATGGGGGGTGAAAAGAATAAAATTAAGACTTGTAAGCCCCTGCGTCGGGCTTCTAAGGACTCATTCCTACACGCATCCCCACCCCACCCAAGGATTGGTGCTGTAAATTTCTATTGTTATACAATTCACAAATGCAGAGTCCTGTAAGAAAAACATGGTGTTTTAATTGTGCCTTTGCCCCAAGCTGAGCCACTTTGAGCTCCAGTGGAATATTACTAGCAGGTGTTTTTATATGAAAAAAAAAAAAAAGTAAATTATATACGTATCTATTGAAAAATCTGGTTGCAGCAGAGAATGGTGCTGCAAAGGCTCTGGATATTTCAATAAGCTTCTGGTTTTATTGAACTGCTGCACTGATTGGCAAAAGAAATACTGGCAAACTGAGCAAGGAACCCGAGACAATTGTGGTGTAATTACCAAAAAAAAAAAAAAAAAGAATGCCTGCAAATCGATCTGTAAACATTTAAAAATAATACAGGGTTTCGAGACGGAAAGGAGTTTCTTCATTCCCTCTTTGTGGGTGAAGGAGCCTTTGAGATTTGGACTCTCTGCCAAACTCCAGGCTCAGAAGCAGCAGGTCTCAGCTCGGTGGCAAAGCAGTGGGTGAGGGAGGGTTTGTTGGGGTGGGACTGTCACTGATAAACTACTATGCAACAAAAAATAAGCGCGCCTTATTTATACGGAATGTTTGGTCCCTGCTGGGCTACAGATTTATCTCTTGGGGGAAGGAAAGCTCAAAACACTTTGCACACGTTAGCTATCCGTAGAGCTTCTTTTGAGGAGGGAAGTCTTGTTTCAATGCCTTTGTTTCCAGTGGTTGGATTAAGGGGGAAGTGAGACCTTCAGTTCCGGAGTTGTTTTGTGTTTTCTTTTTACTTCAGGATATTTTTTTAAACCATAGCATTTGCAGATTTTATTTTGATAACTCCACTTTATGCTGCTTTCGTGACGTGGGATAGTTGAAGCATTGGGATGAACTGACATGTTGTGCTACGGATGTGGGCTTGAGATGACACTGGGAGAGCTCCAGAGCACTGTTCTTCAGCAAAGCTGCAATCCTTTTTTTTAGGGAGTAGCAAAATCAATCCCAAACTGCTGCTGCCCTAAAGTTAGGGAGGAACAGCTGTGTGCTTTCTCTGTGAGAAGGCTTTGGCAATGTGTGTTTTTAAGCAGGTGTCAGAAGTCTGAACCTCTGGCATCATCAAGCTGTTTGTGGTTAGTAGTGGGAGTCGTAGCACCAGGTAAAAACAGGGTATAAACCTAAGCCAATAATGTTTTTTGTTTGTATTTAAGAGCAAGATTGCAAGTGTAGTTAATACTGCCTAAAGGTAGCTCTGTAGTTAACTAGCAGTTGCAAGAGTCGAGGAGTAAACACCAAATGTATTTTGTACCTGCCAGAAAACTCAGCAGCTGTTTCACCTGAGCAGTGCTAGGACTGGGCAGGGAAATTCCAGATTTAAGCACCCTCTCAGTGTTATATAAAGGTAGGGTGGCCATCTTTTAGCTTCCTGAGTATTGTTTGCAAGCCTCTCTTCTTTATTGATCTGAAATCAGCAGGGCTGCATCGTAAGCATACAGCCAGTAGGGATCAATATTGCTTTCTTGCAAAAAGAGCACGAGCGTTTCAGCAAATGGGCTGAAAATACCTCTCCATCTCGTGCTGCTGTGCAGAGGGAGCAGGACCTCAGAGGGATTCTCCTGGTTGTTCAGAGCGAGGAGAACTACTGGGGTTGATCCATCTGGATTCACAGCGTGAGCATCCACAGCCTCCGTCCGAGAGAAGAGACCCAAAGGTGGTGGTTTTCCCTCACTGGTTAAAATACTCAGCGCTGTTATTTGTAGAGTTAGCAGCTTTTTGGTTCTTGTGGTGTGTGTTAGGGGCTTCTTCATCAAGGTGGGGAAGATCCCTTATTCCAAAGTGCTCATTCCTATTATTTCTTTGGTGGCCAAAGTGGAAAAAGTGTCATGTTCAGTAGGGCTGCGAGTGCGGGGTGGGTGGGAGGGGGGCAAGAAATACCAGATGGGATATTTTTGTGACTGCATGCTTTCAATAAAGTACTGTTAGGGTTTTTGAGCCTGTGTGAACTTCAGCTGCTAAATATGTCGTTTCTCACGAGGCTGAGAAACCGTCTGCCAAAGCTGGATGTCTGTGATGCTTTAGTGACTTTGGTGGAGGCATTAAGCAATCTCCTTGCACAGTGAGTCGGCCTCGTTGGAGGCTGTCGTGTGGCTGTCCTCAAGTTATGAGATGTTCTTTGGTACTGGAGAAACTGAGTGATTTAAATGACCGTCCAGCTTAGCTGCTGTTTGTTTGGTTGTTGTTTTTTTTTAATTATTCTTTTTTAAGTAAGAAAAAGGCTGAGTGGTCTTGAAGCTGGTAGCTGGCACGGCGAGGTGGGAAAGAACATCCTCAGTTTGACAATGGGATCCAAGTGAGGAAGCAGAAATTGAGCTGTAACCTACAGCTTATCTCGTAGCCATAATTATGAGAAGCATCTGTCATAGGGTTGTATTTTTTGGTAAGTGTAAGGGATGTGGGTTCGTAGTAGACAGGATAGAAATAACGTGTACGGTGGTGATGTGTGTGATGGTAAGTTACCATGCTCGTTGGTGTCTTTCTTATAACCATATGTAATCCATTTTCTAGGAAGAAAAAAAAAAAAAGGTGTTTTCATACTTGGGATTGGGGTTTTATTTTCACGTAGGTCTCAGTGGGTCAACCTTTTGGATATATGACCAAGGTTGGTCCTTGATAGTTTCCCTAGGAGGTCTTTGGTTGGTTTAGCGTCAAGCGATGCGACGGTGGTGGCCCTGTTCTGTTTGTGTTGAACCACTCTGTAGCAACCAGATCAAAAGCTTGCCAGGAAAAAAAAAAAAAAATGGTGAAAATGCTGGAAAATGATTTTGGTGACCTCTTTTTTTTTTTTTTTTTTTTTCCTTTCCTTTGTAAAGCTGTAAATACTTTATTTTTGTTTACTACTCATAATGCGGTGTCATATTGACACTTTTTTAGACTGATAATCAGAAAATCCTCCTCATTGTTTCTCATTTTTTAAAAGGGGGTTTCAAGGAAGCAAATTTTTTTGCTTGTTAGCGGTGTAATAATAGATCCAATTCCTAAAATGGGTTTGTACAAAAAAATAATAATAATAATAATAATGTTTTCAGTAAACAATGGCAGTTGCTTTTGTGGATGCATGTCGTTCAGAAACGTCCAAAGAATAATGTGATACAAACACTTTTTTCAAAGATGTAGTGATTATTGTATTAGTTCAGACAACGTAAAAACAAATGTATTAAAAAAAAAAAAAAAAAAAAAGTATGGGGGGGGATGTAATGAAATCCAGCTAAGCTAAATATGTAATTATTTATATAAAAAAAAAAAAACCCACACGGTATATATTCTATTTTTATTAGAGGTTTTTAAAGTTGCAAACAGAGTTCTGTTGGCAGATGCAACTGTTCCCCTGTGAAGTATCTTCTGCTCTGATGGGACTCCGAAATCTCCAACTGTTTTCACGTGACGATGTGGAACAATGGGATGGGTAGGGCTGTGATGTGTTCCCCATGGCTTTCTCAGAGGTAAAGAAGACAAGGCAGGCTGACAGCCTCAACCTGCAGAATTCTTGCTGCTCTCAGCCCATTCGTACCGCCCCAGCCTTGGCTTGGTGTCCTCCCACCCACTTGGAAGAGGCGTTGCGTTGGTCAACGCCAGCGTAAATGGGAATTAATGAAACAGAGTAGATCTAAATAGTGCCTGGCTGTAGATCTAAAGCTCTTTCTACCCAAGACGAGGTGTTTTTTCCATCGCCATTGCTGCCAGCAAAAACACAAGCTGAGGTCACGGTCCAAGAGCGGCAACGGTTGGGTGCCGTGCAGCCTTACGTGGAGCAGCTCTTTGCTCGTGTTTCCTTTGGCTCTGGGAAAAGCTGGGAGGATGTTTGTGCTGGAACTGCAGTATGGGGAAGTCTCTAGCTGCGTTGCACGTTTGTGAGTGCTTTATTTTAGAGATGATATTTAAAGCAATTATAATGCTGCGGTCAACGCTAAATCACAGTTGAGTTCTGGTTGACCAAAGGGGGTTGACCAGACCTTTCCATGCCGTGCTTCCATGGTGTAATAATACCCCAATGAGGATTTTCCACATTTTGCTTCAGGATTTTTGGGTTTTGATTCTTATGCACTGCTCCAGGACTTGGGTTGCTGGGGGAACACGCAGGTTTTGGCGATTTGTGTCACCCAATTTTAAGCTTTCATTACAAGATAACTTGTATCAGTTTGAGTTTTAAACAAGAGATTGCTGCACTGTATCCTGGTGTTAATGATGCTGGTGGTAGAGGTGAACTAGACATACTACCTGCCAAATTCTTAATTCAGTCCCTCCCCACCCATTGGTGGAGAGGCTGGAGGCTTGAGCCCAAGTCTTTGGCAGAGTAGTGAAGAAAACACTTGATTATTTCTTGTTGTCTGTTTTTGTGTATAGTTCTGTGTCTTAAGACCCTTCCGCATTCGTGGGAGCCGTTCCGAGCTTCTCTTTTGCAGAAGCAACAAATTGTGTTGGCAGAAATGGGTACTTGATGCTTCTGGAAACGATGATTCCCTCCCATCTAATTCCATAGGACCATAGAATGGTTGGGTTGGAAGGGACCTCCAAGACCACCCAGTTCTGGGTTGGGTCTCTGTAGAGGAAATAATGCTTTAAAAACCCACCAGGCCGGGGTTCTTTGAGAGCTGACAGCACCATTTCCATGGTAGAGCTGCCCAACCCATTGGGCCACGAACCCAACACTGTGGGGTTCACAGCCTGAAATGATGCTCCTTCCATAGCTCTCAATGGAACCCCCAAAGGTTTATTTGTTATTAAGAAAGAGCTGAAGATGGCTGAAAAGCTCCATCACCAAACACTCCTCCTTTCACTAAAAGAAACACAATTTAGCCGTTGCTCAAGCGTACGTAGCTTCAGTTCTGCCAAAACAAAAAAAAACCCCAATTATTTATTATTTAAGGCGTCGGAGTGGAGGGTGTCAATGAATGAATCACTTCTCGTCAGTCCCTCTTTAGGCCATTGTAAGAGTTTTTTTTTATACACATCAAAACAGACTACTGATGGGTGTTGGAACCTGTTTACCGTACGGTTGTAAATATTTGTGCTTTGTATTCTGTATATTGGCTTCTTTTAAAGAAAAACAAAAGAACTGGTGATGTCAGCTGGGATCCAAGGTGAGGACGGAGCAGCACCGGGTCCTGAGCTGAGCTGGGGGTGGATTTGGGCCCGCGGTGTCTGACACCATTGATGGCAGATTTGGGACCATTCGAAGGCTCCTGTTGACCTTAATCCATTTTAGAAGGAGCAGCAAGAGCCGGAAGGACTCCAACTCCTCCAATTTCCAATGGATGATTGCAGTTTTTCTTCATTAGTGCCAAAACCCACCGCTCAGTTCTGCTCGTCGCTCTTTCCGTCCGTCCGTCCGTCTGTCCCGGCTCTGCTCTGCAGGAAGGGGGCTGTGCTGGGGGTCCCGGCTCTTTGGTTCCAAGGAGAAACAAAAACAAAACCACTTTAAATAAATACCAACCTCCTGGTTCCTGCCTGTGCCTGCTGGTTCTTGCTCTGCAGTAAGGGGTGGGGAGGGGTGGGGGGAAGGGATGGGCGTCATTTCTTCCTGAAAGTCCCAAATTTAGGGAATGTGGGGAATTCTGAGCTGATCCCAAACCACCCGAGTACGAAATGGAGACCTTTCAGCTGGCATCTGTAGTGCTCACATCCTTTGGGGGGGGCATTAAAGCTCACACAGCCCGGCTGCTTTGCAGCCCAAGCTCTCCCTGCCGAGGGCCAGGGATCCATTGAGGGCTAAAATCCCATTTTGTTCAAGTTTTTGTTCTTCAAGGTTCCCTTAAGCTGCTTTCTCTTCTTTTTTTCCTCTTTTTCTGTTCTTTTATTTTTCCTTTTCTTCTCCTCGTTTTATTTTTTTTCTCTTTTTTCTTTTATCCTCTTTTTCTCTTTTCTTTCCTTTTCTTCTTCTCTCCTTTTTTTCATTGCCTTTTTCTCACCTTTTCCTCCCCCCCTTTTTTTTCCTCCCCCCTTTTTCTCTCCCTTTACTTCCCCCTTTATTTCTCCTTTTTTTCTCCTTCCCCTTTTATTTCCCCTTTTTTTCCCTCCCCTTTCCCCCCTTCTTTCTTCTCCCCTTTTCCTCTTTTTTTTCCCTCTCCTTTTTTTCCTCTCCCTTTTCTCTCCCTCCTTCTTTCCCTTCCCCTCCCCTTTTCTTCCCCCCCTCCCCCTTTATTTAATTATTTTCCCTTATCTTTACGCTCCGCCCCTTCTTACGTCCCGGCCTCAACCACTACCTCTCGGCAGCCGGGTTGATCACCCATCATCCCCATCCAACCCCGCAAACTTTACACCTCGATCCCGCATCCCCACGCTTTGGCCGTTAACCCTCAGCCTTCTGTACCTCTTTTCCCTTTCCCTTTATCCCACAGCAGCTTTCATCCACTGGTTTTTATAACAGCTGGGTTTTTTCGTTCCTCCCCTCCGTGCCCGGAGCGTTGCGGGCTCTGCCGTCTAAAACGTTGCGGAGCGTTGCGGGATGTGGCGGGCGCTGCGGGGCCGCGGGTGAGTGCCGGCCGAGCCCACATCCCCCCTACTGTCCCTCCGTCCGTCCCTCCGTCCGTCCCTCCATCCCCTCTCCGTGTCCCTCAGTCTGTCCTTCCATCCCCTCGCCCCGTCCCTCTCCCTTCAGTCCCCCCACCCCAGTCATCCCCCCCAACCCCAAGCGATGCCCAATGGAAGGGAACGGAGCCCCACGTGCGTTTGGTTGCCCCCCCAAAATCCTCACCCCTGGCACAAACCCCACCGCCTTCCCAACCTTTGCCCCTCTCTCTGCCCCTTTGCCCCTATGAGGAATGCGGTGGGCGTCGGGATGGCAAAAGCTCACAGCTGCCACGCACCGGTGCCCCCAGTCATTTCCCATCCCATAGAAACCTTTGATCCAGCGTTTTCTGCAGCTTTTTTTTTTTTATTATTATTATTTATTTTAGGCTGGGAGCATTAAAACCACGTTTTGTTGGGGGAAAAAACAAACAAACGACTTATGTTAGAATGAAACCAAACTTTGTGGGGTTAAATTGTGTTTATTGGAATATAAGCGTGTTTTATTGCGATAGCAACACGTTTTAGGGGGGATAAAACTGCGTTTTATGGGGGTAAAAACAAAGTTTTTGGGGGTAAAAATACATTTTTGGGGAGAAATGCGCGTTTTGTGAAGATAAACTCATTGTTTTATTGGGATAAAAACAAGTTTTCTTGGGTTAAAAACACACTTTATTAAGATAAACACCACATTAAGATGAAAATGTGTTTTATGGAGATAACCACACATTTTAATGGGATGAAGACATGTTTCATTGAGATAAAGCACATTTTATTGTGATAAAAGCCATGGTTTGGTGGGGTGAGACCACATTTTGTTGGTATAAAACCACATTTTGGGGGGAGAAACTCACCTTTTTATGAGATAAAACCATATTTTGTTGTGATAGAAAGACATTTTATTGTGATTAACCCACGTTTTGTTGGGATAAACCAAGGTTTTGTTGGTATAAATCCACGTTTTGTTGGGGTAAACTCATATTTTATCGTGATAAAACCATGTTTTATTGTGATAGAAACACATTTGATTGTGATTAACTCAGGTTTTGTTGTGTTAAATCACATTTTGTTGGGATAGAACCAGATTTTGTTGGAATAAAACCACATTTTATTTGGATGAAACCGTGTTTTTCTGTGATAGAAACACACTTTATTGTGATTAACCCAGGTTTTGTTGGGTTAAAATCAGTTTTTTAGGGGATAGACTCAGGTTTTGTTGGGATAAACACAAGCTTTGTTGGGTTAAGGTCAATTTTTTGAGGGATAGACCTAGTTTTTGTTGGGATAAACACAAGTTTTGTTGGGTTAAAATGACTTTTTGGGGAGATAGACCCAGGTTTTGTTGGGATAAACTCATGCTTTGCTGGGATAAAACCACGTTGAAAGAAAACCACATTTTATTGGGGCAAAACCCCACTTTTGGGGGATAAAACCACCTTTTATTGGAAGCACGAGTGGGATTTACCCATCCATCCTTCCCTAGGCAGAGATGCCTGCACCATGCAGCCATCCAGGTGACCAACGAGCCCATCCTTGAGTTCAAGCCCGGCAGCCCCGAGCGAGCAGCTCTCCAGAAGGTACCCACACATGACATTACTTTGAGTTTCCCCCCCCCCCTTTTTTTTATTTTAAACCCATCTCCATCCATCCCCAACGCTGTGTTCTCCCCTCTCCAGGCACTTGCTGAGCTGAAGGGCCGGACTGAAGCCATCCCCTGTGTGGTTGGTGGGGAGGAGGTGTGGACGTCGGCGGTGCGGTACCAACTGTCGGTGAGTTTTGGGGTGAAATATCACATGATGAGGGATGCATCAGTCAGACAGGGAATCATTGGTGCTACGTTCTCTTTTCAGCCGTTCAACCATGCGCATAAAGTGGCCAAGTTCTGTTATGCTGACAAGGTGAGCGCCCTACTTCTGGCCCTTTTCCCTTGAGTTGTCCTTATGGGGACAGCACGGTGAGCACAGATCCTTGGGCAGATGGCCTTTCTCCCCCCACCCTGATCTTCTATGGTGGGCATCTCCTCATGGCTGCCATTCCGCTTCCACAGGACCTCATTAACAAAGCCATTAATGCCGCCATGGCTGCCAGGAAGGAGTGGGACTTGAAACCTATCCAGGACAGGGCTCAGATTTTCCTTAAAGCAGCTGACATGCTGAGCGGCCCACGGCGTGCTGAGGTGCTGGCCAAGACCATGGTGGGGCAGGTGAGTGGGATGGGGTGAGTGGGAGGGATCTGGGGTCTTGGGAAAGAGTGGTATGGGTTTTTGGGAAGGTGTGAGTTGGGGTCTTGGGAAGGGATGTTATGGGGCCTTGAGGAGAAACAAGTATGGGGTCTTGGGAAGGAGTGTGAGATGGGGTCTTGAGGAGAAACAAGTATGGGGTCTTGGGAAAGGGGCGAGAGTTGGGGTCTTGGGAAAGGAGCAAGAGTTGCGGTCTTGGGAAGGAATGTTATGGGGCCTTGAGGAGAAACAAGTATGGGGTCTTGGGAAGGGATGTTATGGGGCCTTG